GCCCTCTGCCATCTCCTTCTTGGGGATGCAGGTTCTGGGGAGGGCAGGCAGCGAGGCTGGGGGAGCTGGGGGGAGTAGGGGCTGGAGCTGGTGCAGGAGATCAGACGACTTGGGGTGCTCTTTGTAGCAAACACAGGCTGCCACCTAGGGACTCTGATGAGGTGGGGAACTCTGGTCCCACCCAGCCAACGCATGGCACAGTCACAGCCCTCCCACCCGGGGGTGGTATCACAGCTCCCCCCGCCACCTCTGCCGGTCCTGCCCTGCTCTGGCATCCTGGAATCCCAGAACCTCCCCAGGGAAGACCCGGCCGTGTGCACATCCTGATGGAGAGAGTGCTCCCCTCCCCTGGCCCAGCCCTTCCCTCTGGGTCAGTTCCGGTGTCTCCCAGGGTATCCGCACCTGCAGGAGCCCAGACCCAGCGGCTGTGCTGGGCTCCGGGGGCGGCGGCTCGGGGTGGGGGTGGCAGACAGGGCCCGGGCTCCGGATTGCTCTGCTCTCACGCACTCCCTGGGAGTCACCGCCCCTCAGGCCTGCCCTGCCTGGTCTGGTCCGCTGTCCCCTCCCTGCACCCTGGCCTGGGATCAGCCCCTGGGCCACAGGCCACGCTGGCAGCAGCCCCGCCTACTTGGCCAACTGGGGCCGAGCAGATGACCGAGGCAGTCGGGTGGCTCCTGCATCACACTTGGCCCCGCTCCCTCCGCAGCCTCGTCCTCGTGGAAAGCATCCCCCAGGACCTCCCGTCTCTAACAGGCAGCCCGTCAGCCCAGCCCCTGGCCCAGGCCTGGCTGCAGCTGCTGGATGCCGCCCAGGAGACATCCACGTGGCCTCCTTCTACTGGTCTCTCACGGGCCCCGACATTGGGGTCAACGACTCGTCTTCCCAGCCGGTGCGCCCCGCCCCGCCCCGGCCCCTGAGGCGCACAGCAAGTCCAGCGGGCAGCACGTCTGTCTGCGAGCTGTGGGCATCAGGGGTGGCCTCCTAGGCGGGGGTCTGGGTCCTTCCTGGTGTGGGGGTGGTGGGCTAGGGGTGGCCTCGCACAGCTGGCCTGCTCTCGCAGGGAGAGGCCCTTCTACAGAAGCTGGAGCAGCTGCTAGACAGGAACGTTTCCTTGGCTGTGGCCACCAGCAGCCCGACGCTGGCCAGGAAGTCCACCGACCTGCAGGTCCTGGCAGCCCGAGGTGGGTGCCTGCCATCCTGGGCCCTGGGCCCTGGGGCTGAGCCCAGGTGACTTGCTTGTGCCCTGGGAAAATCGAGAGCAATGCGGCTGCCTGGGGAGAGGCTGGGAAAGGCTTCCTGTGCCTTTCTGGGACCCCAGCGCTGGTTCCAAGGAGCCGGACGTGTTATTTTCCACTGGGCAGAGCACAGGGTGTTGTCCGGGCCCTGCTGAGCCCAGCTGCTTCAACCTGTGTGTGGGTGGAGGCTCAGCCAGGAGCAAGAGGCAGCAGGGACCATCCTCCTAGAGCTGGGCTGCCTGGAGGGACACTGGGACGGTCAATGCCTCTGTTCTCCCACCTGGAATATGGGGCTGATGACAGCAGCGACTTAGTAGGGCTGCTGTGAGCAGAAATGAATCAACCCAACAGTAAAGAGATGAGCACTGGACGCAGCACGAGGTCACTTCACCCCATGGCCCTAAACTCTTGGCCAGGTGCCCAGGTGCGACACGTGCCCCTGGGAAAGCTGACCGGTGGCGTTTTGCACTCCAAGTTCTGGGTGGTGGATGGGCGGCATGTCTACGTGGGCAGTGCCAACATGGACTGGCGGTCCCTGACACAGGTGAGTCCCAGGGCCCCAGAGGGGACCCACCCAGAGCTTGTCCTGTCCTGTGCCCCTGGGGCTCTGCCTGCTGTCCCCACGTGGGCAGCCACCCAACAGAACCTGGGTGACGTAGCCATGCCATTTAACCCCATGGAAAGGCGTTCAAGTCACCTTATGCAGGGACCCATGCAGACAAAGCAGGATCCCTTTTAGGAAAAGCAATGCTTTAAGCACGCGTTAAAAATGGTGATGGCGGGTGTCACTTGGCCACGAAGAATGAGCATTTTCCTTTCTTCTTTGTGCATGTATGTGTTCTCTCTTGTTTTGTTCGGCAATGAACACATATGGCCTTGACCGTTGGGACACAATGCTCAAGACAACTAGGGGCCCACTGGGCACCCCACCCAGCACCCAGTCCACTGCGGGCTCCTGCAGGGGGCGCTGCTGCAGACTGGCCGCCAGTCGGGGGACTGCACCTGCCCAGCATCTTGGCCTGGGTGCTCCCGGCCCGGGCCCCCTTCCACAGCCACTGCCCCGGCCCTGCAGGTGAAGGAGCTCGGCACCATCATCTACAACTGCAGCCGCCTGGCCCAGGACCTGGAGAAGACCTTCCAGACCTACTGGGTGCTGGGGGCGCCAGAGGCAGTCCTCCCCAAACCCTGGCCTCGAAACTTCTCATCCCACATCAACCGCTTCCAGCCCCTCCGGGACCACTTTGATGGGGTGCCCACCACGGCCTACTTCTCAGTAAGGGCAGTTGAGGAGGCCTGTGGGAGGCCCTCCTGCCTGGAAGACACCAGGGCATCTCCTAGGTTCTCAGGGCGATGGCTCGGGGACACCGTGGACGGGGCTGTGGTCTCAGGTCGAGGGGCCAGCTGGCATCGGCAGCCCCAGGGCTGTGCTAGGATGCCAGCACCGCTCCAGGAGAGCACACTGTCATCACCACCCACAGGAGACAGGAGGCCCCGGTAGTGGGGCGTCTGGTGGCCCTGGGGGTCTCTGAACATGCTGTTGGGTGGGGCTTAGGGGGTCCGACTGGAGACGAGGGAGGGTGAGAGGAGGGCCAGCTCATCAGGCCAGTCTGTTCCTCTGCGGGGGAGGGAGGGTGGCTGGGGGTTGAGCTGGTCACGCCCACAGGCAATGCCCCTCCCGCGGGGTACCCTTGTGCTGGTCTGCAGCGGGCACCCAGAGTCAGAGCCAGGATGCTTCTCAGAGGGGGCTGGGCAGGCACAGGGGGCTTCCTGTGGGGTCAGGCTGCCAAGGGCACTCCTGAGGCCCCTGTTTGGAGCCTCCTTCTCTCCCCACCCCGGGCAGTGTGCCCCTTGTCTTCCTCCTGGCTCCTAGTGCCGGAGGGTGATGCATGATGGGAAAGAGCCCATCCAAGAACGCAGCAGGTCGGAACGGGGCCAGCGGTGCCCCAGAGACCTCTCTGCCCACGCAGGCGTCACCACCCGCGCTCTGCCCCTCCGGCCGCACCCGGGACCTGGACGCGTTGCTGGAGGTGATGGGGGGCGCGCGGGAGTTCATCTATGCCTCGGTGATGGAGTATTTCCCCACCACTCGCTTCCGCCACCCCACCAGGTGGGTCAGGCAGGAGCCAGGTGGCGCTGGAGGGGGAGGACTGGCTCTGCGGAGGGGCAGCTCCGGGCCTGTCTCCTCTCCTGCCAGGACCCCTGCCCGCCCAGGGCTCACAGGCAGGGCCCCACTGGCCTGAGACCCCTATGCCTCCCCTTCCTTCCCCTCCCCAGGTACTGGCCGGTGCTGGACACAGCGCTGCGGGCGGCGGCCATCGGCAGGCATGTCCGGGTGCGCCTGCTGGTCAGTTGCTGGCTCAACACGGACCCCAGCATGTTCCCCTACCTGCGGTCCCTGCAGGCCCTCCGCAGCCCCGCGGCCAACGTCTCCGTGGACGTGGTGAGGACCTGCTCCCTGGCGGGACCGGGAAGCAGCCTCCCTGTCCCTGACACACCCTCTTTGCTCCCCAAGAAAGTCTTCATCGTGCCAGTGGGGAACCACTCCAACATCCCATTCAGCAGGGTGAACCACAGCAAATTCATGGTCACAGAGAAGATGGCCTACATCGGTGAGCAGGGGGCTCAGAACCCCTGAGTCCTTGGGGATGCCAACAGAGGGGACAGCACACAGAGGCCACACAAACCCGCGAAGGGGGCCGTGTCCCCACGGCAGTGGCCAGGCCAGGCTGCTGAAGGGGTCAGGTCCTCTCCATGGGAGGCAGCAGCCCAGCTGTCACCCGTCCCTGCAGGGCAGGGGGCCATCTCCAGCACCGAGTCCCAGGGGGTTGAGTTGGCAGGGTGATACGGGCAGAGTGCCCACAGAAGAGCTGGCTGGCCACCCTGCATCGGAGGGGCTGCGTGGCTGCAGCTGGACGACAGCAGGGCAGCCGGTGTGCCCAGCTGTCTCCAGAGCAGCAGCCAGCGCCATGGGGCTGGGCGGGGCGGGGCAGCAGAGAAGCCCCGGAGGGCTCCGTCTCCCAGCCTCTCTCTCCTGCCCACCCACCTGCAGGCACATCCAACTGGTCAGAAGATTATTTCAGCAGCACCTCGGGTGTGGGCCTGGTGGTCACCCAGAGGGCCTCGGGCACCCGGCCGGAGGGGACCGCTGTGCAGGAGCAGCTGCGGCAACTGTTTGAGCGAGACTGGAGCTCCCCTTACGCTGTCGGCCTGGATGGACAAGCCCAGGGTCAGGACTGTGTTTGGCAGGGCTGAGGTCCAGCCCTTCCTGGCGGGGGGTGGGGCCTGCTCCCCAGCCGGCCTCCCTGCGCGGCTCCCAGTCTGGACTCCAAGCAGCTCCATCCACACAAGCCCTGATGGGGGGCAGGACTGCCCGGCGCGGGGCAGGTGCAGACTGTTTTCTCTCCCTCTGCTCTCCAAATCCAGCCCTTCTTAAACCCCCACCTCCTCTGGGGGGTCCTCCAGAATGTCCCTCCCTGACTCCCATAGAGCCACAATCCATGCCCACAAGTGGGGCCTTAAGAAAATACGTGAGCCTTCCTGTCTCTCCGTGTGAGTCCTGTGTGGGGCTCCGCCCCCTCCACAGCCCGAGGCTGGAGTTCAGCCCACCCACCCGTGAGGGACCTGCATCCACGTGGTCATATTGAGGCCGGGCCTGGCATGTGACGTGGGAGCCCCTGACTCACCAGTGCCCAGTCTGGGCCCACAGGAACCCAGGGACCAGTAAGGGGTGGGTGCACAGGAGAGGGGACTCAGACCTGTAAGGGCAGGGCTGCTGTGGCACTCAGGCCTGGCGTGCAAGGGGCCAGGGCTATGTGGGTGGAGTCACGAGGACCTGGGTTTGAGCTGGGGCAGGATGACCCCTGGGGGGATGAGAACTCAGATGCAGCCCCATTGGTGCTCACCGACCCCTGGTCACCGCCTGCCACCGCCCTGCAGAGGCAGGGGCTGAGTCCTGGTCTGACGTCTCTGTTTGGTTCTGGCCCTCCTGCCGGTAGTACCGGTTCAGAAGCCTGTCTCAGCCCCCTGCCCCCCACCTCCTGGTTTTGGACCTTGGCGCAGAGCCCACTTGCCATGGGAAGAGGCCCCCAAGGCCACCCTAGGCTAGAGCTGGGGGCTGGCTCAGAGTCTGAGAGGCCCTGGCCACCGAGGGAGCTGAGTGAGTGGATACCATGCCCATCCTGGGCCACCATGTCCCTGCTCCCAAGTCTGCTCGGCCTCAGAGAGGAAGTTCCTCAAACCTGGCTTGGCTCCGGCCCAGGCCCCCAGGGATCTGGAGAGGGTGCCGTGGGTCCACACAGGCCTGGGAACTGGCCTGTGTGGGGGCTGCAGCCCACCCCCAGCCGCACATCACAGGACTGCACCCCAGGGGCAGCACCTGGACCCACTCTGCTCCGCAGGCCAGCCAGTCACTGTCCAGGAGGGCGCTGTGAGGCAGGCCATGACAGGTGACAGGTGGAAGGCCTACTTCACACACTTTGGGTCTGGTGGCCACATCTCAATGGGGGCCTTGAAGGCCTGCTCCAAAGCAGACCCCCTCCCAGGAGATGAGGCTTGAGAGGCCCAGGGGCCCCTTCTGGGGTGTAAGGGACAGACCCTGCTTCCTGGAACCCACACCCCTGTGACCTCTCCCTGGAGGGTGGGCGATCCCTGCCATGCTTGGAACAAGCAGAATGCACACACATGGTTCTGTGACCCGAGATGGTGACAGTTTTGCTGGGGGTCTGTCCCTTGCTGGTTTGATGAAGGAAGTTCCTAGCTGTGAGCTGTCCTACAGAGAGGCCCGTGTGGCCAGGCCCTGCGTGGCCTCCAGCCTCCAGCCAGCAAGAAACAGGGCCCTCGGCCACTCAGCCTGTAAGGAATTGAAGGTTGTCGACAACCTTTTGCGTTTTGGAAGTGGCTCCTTCCCCAGTTGAGTCTGGAGATGACAGCAGCCCTGCTAAGACCTTGATTCTGGCCTTGTGGAACCCAGCCACACAGCTGTGCTTGGACTCCTGAGCCACAGAAACTGGGAGACCATAAACGTGTGTTGTTGTCAGCCGCTCATTTATGGCAATGTTGTTACACAGCATAGGTGACTCATACACCGCAGGGCAGAGGCCGCACCAGGGGACTGTGGGCTCTGCGCTGTGGGCAGCTCCCCACGTGCTGACAGCTGCCTGCCTGGCCTCCAGCACCAAAGCCCCGAAATCTCGGGTTCAGACAGGGATGAAAACCCCACGGAGCCAGGCAGACCACCACCCCGCCTCCACCCCACTGTGTTCAGGAGGCCTGCGCTCACTGCATCTGTCTGACGTACCCGGCGAGGCGGGGGCCTTGGGCTGGGAGGGTGTCACAGCCTCTCTTGACTGCTGGACAGAGTCCCCACAGAGCTTCCCCTCCTCGCTCCCCACTCAGGAGCCCTGGGGCCTTGTGTCAGCTCACCTTCCAGAGGATCCCACACCCCTGAACTTGGGTGACCTTCCCAGCCAGCCACAGATGTGACCTGTCTGCGGTGGGCAGTGGGGAGGATCCAGACTCCCCTCCCCAGCCTCCCAGGCTCCCTCAGGGCAGCCCCAGGGGTGGGCAGCCTCGGGAGCCCACAGGGGCTCACAGCCCAGCTCCCACTGCTACACCCACAGCTGTAAGAGCAGCTGCTCCCCTCCAAGCAGGAGGCACATGCGCCCAGGAGCCTGCCTGGAAAGAGGGAGGAGGGCCAGGAACTCATCCGCCCCTGGGCCCAGGAAGGGCATCTGAAGGCAGCTGGGAGGAGGAGCTATGACCCTTGAAAGGCTGTAGGAAACACCTTGAACCACGCCCTGGCTCGGATTTCAGAGGGCTGCTTGGAAGCAGGGCCCCTGCGGCTAGGGAAGCTTCCTTCCCCTGTTGTGGCCCAGGAGCCCCCTCTGTGCTGCCCCCGCCCCTCACAAGCCCTGTCCTTGGGCTGCCTCCCAGCTGGGCGGGGCTGCGGTGGGTCTGCGCCCCTGGCCGCACCATGAACTGCTGGGCCCCTGCCTTCTGCCTCTCGGGCTGTCACAGCCGCTGGCTCGGAGGAGGACCTGGACAGACAGATGGATGAGTGAAGCACTGCTGTAAGGTTTACGCTTGGGGAGAGGGTAGAGCTCAGCGGTGGCACACATGCCTGGCATGCACAAGGTCCTGGGGTCAATCCCCAGTACCACCATTAAAATAAATAAATGAACAACCTCCCCACCCCCAAAATTAAAATTAAAACAGGTGTTTGAAAAAACAGATTCACTCTTAACTCTGCTTTCGAGTCACCTAGTAGCACTGGACGGGGAGTGCGGGCACAGGCGAGTTTCAGCCCAGAACAGAAGACCTCACAGCCGGCACCGGGATGCAGAACGTCCTTTATTGCCCTTCCTGGGAACAGCCGAGCAGATGTCACCCGCAGCCTGGCTGCAGAGTGTACTAAGGGCTGGGGCCAGGCGTGGGGCTGCGCACGCTGCAGGGGGCGCTGCAGGCAAGCAGACGGGCACAGACGGCTGGCGGGAACTCAGGCACGTCTGGTCCACCTCTGCTGGTGCACCTGCCCACAGCTGCGCTGAGCACGGCCGCCAGGTGGCCACTGGCCCCCACCAGTCTGCCCACAGTGTGTGCATCGTCACGCAGAGCGTCCCAAAGTGTGTCTTGGCAAGACATCCAACCAGGGTGCGAGTTCATGATAAGCGAGCAGGTGACGGGGTTTCCTGGACGACGCCAGACTCTGCCTGAACTAGGGAAACTACACTCACCAGGAAGCAGCGACAGCGGGACAGGAGCTAGACCCAAACCACGTCTACACCCACGGCCATCACAGCCCTTCTCAAAGCAGCAGCGTGTCCCGGTGACTCGTGGGGAGCCGGGCACGTGTGGGTCCCACCGTAGGAGGGCTGTGTGATGGCAGCCTGGCTGGCCTCAGGCGCTTCTGCTCTGTTCTCGGTTCCAGAATTGAGGTGGACACATGCATCGTCAGGGTGGAAGCTCGGGCCCAGCCCCCGCTTCCTGGTGTCATCTGTACGTCTGTCTGCCCTCACTTGGTGGCAGGGCCGGGGGCGGGCACGTCCCGGGCCCCTCTGTCCTGCTCCAGCAGGACCAGCTCCGTTCTTGCCGCGGGTGTCACCATCGCTCTGGTGCCTGGCCTGGCACCTGCCGCCTCTGCCTGGTCCCCCTCCTCCTTGTCCTCGGGGGAGAAGCTTTCTCGGGCGTCGAAAAAGGTGACGGCTTCTTCTTGGGGTTTTAGTTCCGCCAGGGCTGCCTCGTCTTCAGGGCTTTTGCTCGTCTTGGTAGGAGAGGACGAGAACCCTAACTTGGGAAGTCGGAACCAGCCCGCCTTTTCCTGTTTCTTAGGTAGCTGTGCCTCAGGCGGCGCCCCAGGCTGTGTCTGGACGGGAGCCGACCTGCGGACTTCCTCTCGGGGATCTGCGTGTGTCTCTTCGCCGGAGGAAGAAAACCCAATGTTTGGAAGCCAGGACCGGAACAGACCAGAAGACCTTTTACCCTCTGGTTTCCCTTGTAGAGCCCCGTCCTCCGCTGCCGGGCATGCGGCTGCCTCCCCACTGTCTTCCTCCTCCGGGGGAAACTCGAGAATTTCCGCAGCCTCCTCCTCAGAGCAGCTGTCCGCGCCCTGGTGGCCAGGGCGCACTTCAGGGGTGAATGCTGGCCGCTCAGGGACGCCAGTGCTGGACATGATCACTTCAAACGGCTCTCCAGTGTCGGGCTGCAGGTCTCTAGAAAATGGGTCTGCTTCCAGGGCGTCTCGTTTGGAAGCCTCTCCCGAGCCCTCCCTTGGCCGGGGGTCTTGGACCCTGACCTGCCTGGGGGGCTCTGGGATCTTTACTTTGAGCAACGAAAATCCGTAAGAAGCTGTTTGGATCTTGGACGCAGGAATCTCTGACTCCCGCACAATCTGAGTGGAAAAAGCCTCGGGTCCTGAGAGGTCCTCTAACTCCGCCGTCACCTTGCGGACAGCGACCTCTGGGCGCTCTACCTGAGCACCCTGAATGTGCGCCCTGGCCTTGGAAATGGGGGAATCTTCTGGGGAGAGGTCAAGGGCCACAGGCTGCTCGCCTGGGGCCCCGGCGCCCGCCTTCAGGATGCTGGCGCCCCAGTCTCCCGGGCTTTGCGTGCGCAGGGCGTCGCCAAGGCTGCTCCCCGGGCACCGCACCTCGCTCACGGTGGGGATGAACACGTCAGCCTCGGCGCTGGGGTCAGGGAAGGTGAACCGCGGCATGTCCAGCCTGGGCAGTTTGACAGTTAGCACGGAGCCTTCCCAGGGCTGACCCATGTTGATGACAGAAACCTGCAACGGCAGGCCGGTGCTGGACGCCCTCAGCCTAACAGGGCCTTCAGGCTGGGAGGACCGGTCCTCGGCTCCCCCTGCCCCACCGGCAAGGTCCAGTCCTGGTGGCCCAGCAGGAGCCTGGCCTGCTTCTCCTGCAGGAGCCTGGGTTTCTGAAAGCCTCCCACTGGGCACGTGAAGAGGCAGACAGCCTTCGCCTGGACGGACCCTGACCTCGGGAGTGGAAAGGTGAGCTGCAGGTGCCCGGCAAGGAGGGCAGTACAGCTCCAAGCCTCTGATGTCAAGGTTTCTCTTTAGAACGTCTGTGCCACACGTGCTTTCTGCGCCCGTCTCTGGGGGCTGCAGGGACGCGGGTGCCGTCCCCTCGGAGCCAGGGAGCCCCCCGGGCCCTCCGCGGGAGCACTAGCAGCAGGTGCCTTCACCGGAGGCCCCGGCAGCCCTGCCCCACCTCGCGCCTCGGCAGGGCGCTGGATGCCGGGCAGGCGCAGGCCGGGCGCTTGGAACCAGACCCGCTGTGAGCCTGGCACGCCCGCCACAGCGCCCTCCTCTGGGCTCTGTGGCACGAGGGCTGCAGCATCCGCTGTCCCACAGGACGGCGAGAGGGGGTCTCCTGCTAAGGGGGCCGCTACCTCCACATGAGGCTGGCTTGCTGGCGTGTCCCCAGGCCCGTGGCCTTGGCTGCCGTCCCCCAGCGGTGGGCCGTGCCGGGGAAGAGGGCCGCCTGCAGACGAGGTCGCCACCTTGGCCGCGCTGGGCCTGAGGTCGGGTCTGGCGAAGCCCAAATGGGCAGAATGGACCTGTGGCAGATGGGGGTCCATGCCCACTCCTTCTGGAAGGTCCACCACTGTGCCAGTGTCCCCAGCACCACCCTCACCACTTGCCTTCTGTGCGGCATGAGAGCCACTTTCTGCCAGGGGCCTGGAGGCTGAAGCAGCTG